GCATGTAGTGATGGGAGCCTTGCCCCTCCCAGGAGTCACACGTCTGACTCCTGCGAGGCTGCCTGCACCACCCCCAGCTCCTTCACTTCTCCTGACTCCACCTGTTCCTCCTGCCAGGCTGCTTGAAGCTTACATTTATAGGCTTCTTGTTCTGAGGAGCCCGGGTGTCAAGGCCACCTGTCAGTTTCCTGCACAGCACTACCTGTTCCCACCTCTGGGCATTTGCTCACATGACGATTTAGCCAACCCGCCACCCACCCCCCCAGGCCATCTCCTGTCTACATTCTCCCTTTTCTCAAAACCCGACTCCTCCGCACCCTCCATTCCCTACCCTATAAGCCCTTCTTTGAGAACTCTAGGCCATGTTCCCGTTCCCTATCACCAAATCTCCAGAATCTCTGGGAGCTGAAACATACACTAGCAAATCTAAGTCACATGCCTGGTGTTTAACCGTTTCCTGGGTGAGCATCCTCCTCCCATGTAGCAGTGAGCGCTGTAGGAACCAGCACATGCTTCCCTGGGGTCCCCTGTGGTGCCCGGCCAGTCTGGCTGCCAGTGGGCTCCATCAGCCTGTGCTGGCCTGGGCCTGGGCAGAACGGTGCCCACGTGACTGGCTGTAGCAGAAGCCACGGCCAGGTTCTTGGCTCATTTCCATGGCCTGGTGAGAGAACCAAGCCATTATGCCTGGACTTGTAAAATAAAGAAGAATCTTACTATAGGTTTTATTTTTAATTTTAATGTTATTTTTCTTTTTTAATTAGTAAATTCTTTTTAAAGTTTGAGCAGACTTTTGTCCTTCTCATTCTGTCATACCAAACCTTGTGCTTTGAAAAAATTTATTTTTAATCTCTAATGCTTTTATTTATTTTATTTTTAAGACTTTTACTTCTTAAAATGTTTTTCTTGATTTCAGAGAGAGGAAGGGAAAGGGAGAGAGAGAGAGAAACATCAATAATGAGAGAGAATCTTTGATTGGCTGCCTCCTGCATGTCCTCTACTGGGGTTTGAGCCTACAACCCCTGTATGTCCCCTGACTGGGAATCCAACCATGACCTCCTGGTTCGTAGGTCGATGCTCAACCATTTAGCCACACTGACTGGGCAACCTCTAATCCTTTTAAATCAAGAAATCGCCAAGTATAGTAGAAAAAATTGAGAACTCTGTTAAGCAGAAAGAAGAGAAAATAATCATCTCTACTCTCTAAAAACAACCAAAGTTAACACTTTGCTGAGTTTTCTGTATCTGTGTATAAATAATCAAAATAGGGTCCATCTGTGCAAACTGTTATGTATCATGCTTTTTCATTCAGATATTCTCCGTCATCTTTTTAAACTCTCTAAGTGGATGAGCCATCATTTACCTAACCAGCCCCTGGCCACAGTGCTCATGGCTGGCTTATGCCACCTCCTTGGACCTGACTGTTTTCTCCTTCAAGGAGCTTCTGTTGAGGTTTGCTTGAAGCAGCTAAGGTTAGGGAACCAGGAGGCTGGGTGGGGAGGAGAGTGGGTGGGAGGGAGGGTTAGGGAAAACCTGACTGAGGAAATGAGTGTCACTCAAGTCTCTTTCACTCTCTGCGAATCATCTGTAAAAGAGAGGAGATGGAATTATCTTGAATGACTTCCAGTGCCCCTCCTCTGTGGTTCTCCCAGCACCAGGTATTTACTGCCAGCAGGCTCTGCTAAAGACCCGGACAGCGGAAGACTGGGGTATTTATTTAAGATTGCTCTCCTGGCTGTCCGCAAGAAGACCAGGCCAGGGAAAGTTCAGAGAATGTGGGCTGAAGCCAGCCTGAAGCAGAGGGGAGGAGCTGATGCGCCAGGGCCACTGGGCTGCCTGGGCTCGTGAGGGTCGTGTGGATTCTGCTCCTTACAGCAGAAATGTACAGATTAGTCTGTGGGTTCTTTTGTGTGTGTTTTTAAAGCAAAATTAAGTAGACATTTATGTTGAGGGTTCTTCCCTCTAGGCCTTATCTAGCATAATGGCCGATATCCTCCAGCGCAGGCTGAGATCTGAGCCAGGCGGGCAGGTCTGTTTGGGCGGTGAGCTCCCTGGAGCAGCTCTTGTGGCTTTGTGTCCTGCACAGTCAGCACTTGGTGTCACCCAAGCGACAGAGAGCCTTTCTTTTCCTACGGCTTTAAGTGATCCCATAAAGCCCAGGGTAATGAGGTAAGTGGGAAGCATCTCTGGGCGAGGATGAGGCATGGTGGACCAAGGCCTGCTCTTCCTCCTCATCTTCCCCTTTAATAGCAGCATCAGTAACAACAAACCCTCTCATTTGTGCGACGAGCTCCAGCTTACAAAGCTTTTTACTCATTACCCATTCGTTGGGGGTTGAGGATGTTTGTGATCTGTCCGGGGCCCCAGAGCTCCCGCGTGGCCTAGTGGGGCGCTCAGGGGTCCTGCCTTTCTGTCCAGGACCCTTTGGTTTGGGCCGGGCTGGTGCCCCACAGGAACACAAGGAGAGAAACTGAAAAGCAAAAAGCAAGTGTGGGGCAGGGGTATGTGCCTCTGGAGGTAGCTGTGATGTTGAAAGGTAGATCCAGTGTCTGTCTGTCTTCCTGCTCATCAGGGGCCTCTCATAGTGGATGGGGTCAGGGAGGAACCCTAGGGTAGATCTAGCACCTGTCTGTCTGTCCATCAGAGGCCTCCCATGGTAGATGGGGTCAGGGAGGGATTTGCCAGGTCTAGTCTCGATCTTTCTCGTTTATATCCTGGCACAGAGTTGGCACGAGGTCTCACATAAGCGTCAGGTGTATTTGGAGGAAGGCTCTACATCAGGGGTGAGGGTTTCTGCCCATATCTCTATTCCCTGGTTTTAGTTCCAAACTTTTCTTTGAGAATCGACTGATTGGAGTCAGAATAGGTACTTTCTCAAAACACCCAATTTGTGAGTTAAAAAAAAAAGTATATTTAAAATTATTAACCTCTCTTAACAGTTTGCTGATTGATCTTTCCGATCTTTTACTACAAGTACACAAACACAATGATGTGTTGTTGAGGTTGTTGTTTTGTTTTTTAAATATAAAGTGGAACCATGCCATTCTCTCTCCTTTTCTGTCTTGGCAGTGTGCTTATTTCACAGAATACCTGGGCAATAAGTCCTTGATTCTCTAAAATCTCATTTCTTGCTCCAAGAAGAAAAGGATAAGAATAGCTAATTTATATATAATTTATATAATAGATAATTTCTCTAAGTCCCTTGCTTTTTTGGGTGAGTCCTAGAGAGGTAAACTGAACGCCCCATTTGTTGGCCAACCTGGGCCTGAATCCAGTTTTTCTGACTCTTACATCGGCAGGGCTATGCTTATGTTAAGAATGCCTTTCTGTCTTACCCTTTAGATCCATTCTGACAACATCCCTGTGATGTCAATGGGGCAGGAATTATTGACAAGGCTTGGTGCATGAAGAGCCTCGCCCACAGTCAGCGCTGAGAGGGTCTGGAGCCTACGGCTCTTTTGGTTGAGTTCAGTTTATCCAGCCTTTAGTGAGGGGTTACTGTGTGCCAGTAGCCTAGTGGGGCGCTCGGCCTGCTGTTGTTGGACAGACAGCCTAGCTGAGGTCCTGCCTTGTGCTCTGAGCAGAGTGGGGCTCCCCAGAAAGACTCACATCGTCCCTAGGAAGGGCCCACATTCCAGACCTGGGACAAGATAGTAGAGTCCCTGAAGAGCTGTTTGTACACAAGGTTGGGAGGGAGGAGTCTGTGACCTCGGTTGTCCCCACTAACCCCTCACTTCTCATGACTCTCTCCCCATCCCTACTTCCTGTCCCTCCCGCCCTCCTCCCTCTCTCTGTGGCTCTTTATCCATTTGTCTCCATCTGTCTCTCTCTGCATGTGGTTCCTGCCCCTCTCGCTCTGTTATGTCATACTATCGCTGCCCCTTTCCCCGTCCGTCACATGTTCTTCTTCATGCCAATGCAGGCGTGCTGGTCACCATGACAACAGAGACAGGCCCGGATTCTGAGGTGAAGAAGGCTCAGGAAGAGGCCCCACAGCAGCCTGAGGCCGCCGCTGCTGCTGCTGTGACCACCCCAGTGACCCCTGCAGGCCACGGCCACCCAGAGGCCAACTCTGAACAGGTGTGTGCCCGAGAGCATGGGCATCCCTCTTCCTGCCCAGCCTGTCCTCTGGGGCAAGTGCTTAGGAAGGAGGAGAGGAGGAAATGAAGATTTATTACTGACCAGTTACATGCTGAGCACAGTGTCGTTTTTGTATTTAATTCCCCCATACCTAAGGGAGTAGCTATTAATTTCCCATTTTACACTTGGGGAAATTGAGGCTCAGCAGGATTAAGTGAGTTACCCAAAGTCACATTGCTATAAAGTGACAGATGTGGAAGTTGAATCTAGATCTGGTGTCAAAAACACATGTTCTTTCAACCTCATTTTCTACCCCCTGAGCCTGTCCATTCTAGCTTTGCCAGCCCAGGGTGGCCCCAAATTTATCACCCTGAAGCTACAAGGGACTCTAGGAATCACCTACTCATTGACTTCACTCCTTCCTTAAATCACGATAGGCCCAGAAAGGGCAGGGACTTGGTCAGTGAGGGTGTCAGTGGTAGAGTTAGGACAAGAGGGCAGGGCTCAGGCCTCCCTTCCCTCCATTAAATTGGTCCACAAGTCCCAAACGTCATGCTAGACCCAGTGACAGACCAGGAAGGAGGAGAGCAGATGGATATTCTTATAACTCATGCACTATTCAGGGGAGACAGGACAGCTCTGGCCACCGGGGGTGGTTTTGTGGGATGCTCCCGCCTACAGAGGCTGCCACAGCAGCAGGAGCCTGTGGGAGAGCAGAGGACCCCTCAACTGCACATGGAAGCTCTGGCTCTCCTCCTGCACTACCCACCACAGACTCTGGTCACTCCAGGGGCCTTAGATGGCAGTGGCTCTCATTTTGGGGTCCATCACAGCCCCAGCTGCCTCCTTGTTGCAGCTCATTTGGGTGAAAGGCTATGATTTCAAGCTCGCTGACCAAACTCTTCTCCTGGTTGGACCTACAGAGCCTAGACATGGACGAAAAGGACAACGGGGAGGCTGATGGCCTGTCAGAGAGGACCACGCCCAGCAAGGCCCAGAAATCGCCCCAGAAGATTGCCAAGAAATACAAGAGTGCTATCTGCCGAGTCACTCTGCTCGATGCCTCTGAGTATGAGTGTGAGGTGGAGGTAGGGACCACCCAGTGCCACATGCCCCGTCCGCAGCCAGCTGGCCTCAGAGCAGAGCAGGCTTCTGTGTGCACTCAGCCTGGGCCAAGCCAGAGGGCATCCATTCGTCATGGAGCCCTGGGCTGACTGGAGTGTCCCAGAGAGATGACCTGGCCAGCCCTTTGTACAGATGGTGGCATCCAGGCCCGGAGATGCCTGTTTTGATTGCAAATAGAATTAGACGAGGCACCAGGCTGGCACCAGGAAAAGGTTTCTCAGGGTGGCTGTACCTTGGCAAGGAGCCACCATCCAAGGGCTGATCTGCAGCCCAATCTCTTCACTGTAACCCAGCAGACAGTGTTTCAACTAGAATCATTTTTATTGGGTGGAGAGAGGGGTCCTCTCTTGTGAAACCCCCCTGCCCAGGATACTACCTCTAGTCTCTAGGACAAACTGGTCACCTGAGGGTTCCATGGTAAGGGTGTCCCCCAGGCGTAGGGAGGTGGCCCATTGGAAAGACACACTCCCCCAGGCCATGTAGAAACCCTGTGGCATGGTCCTGTCCCACACTGGGTGGCAGGGCAGACCCCTCCTCTCTGGGGTCAGCCTTTCTGGCCTCACATTCAGCGTCTCTCTTTTCCTATGTAGACTCAGAATCCTGCCTAACTTCAGAACTGTCACTCGCCCCCTTAGAGGTTCTTCCCTAGCCCAGGCTCCATTCCTGGCCCTCTGCCTGCAAACGGAGTGTCCAGAGGGTGGCCTTATTATGAGAGTTATAGGAGCCACCTTCCTTCCTCCCTCCTGCCCTGATCTTAAGGGGCATGACACTCCTGAGCCCTGGGAGGCTGGGTCCCTCTTTTTTGCAGGGTTGGGTTTTTGTTTTGTTTTTAAAATATTTATTACTTCTATAGAAGGGTTTCAGAATAAACATCTGGCCTACTTCTGGGCAAAATAAAAGGATATCTTCTACCTCTTCTCTCTTACCCACACTGGCCCCAAGAGGCCGTTTCATCCTGCCCTAGAAGAGTGTAGAGTTTGGCTGAGGCCCGTCCACGCTCTCTGAAGCACTCCTCTAAGCTCAGGAATCTCTTGGCTTCCCAAAGCTGCTATCCATCGTCAGGCCTGGTCTCGGCCCCTATGACCTAGCCAGACCTCGCAGGGCCTCACCCTCTCTCTGGAGGTCCCTGCCTCCCTGAGTAGTAACTGCTTCTCACTCCCCCTGCCCTGTATTGGTGCTCATCCTCACCCCTGTGGGTTTAGGGTACCGAGCCAGGTTCTGGGATTTGTCCTTGTGCATTTTCAGGCCCAGATGGTGTTCAGAGAGGTACCAAGCCTGGTTGAATGGGGGTGGGACAGAAAGGTGGCTCCTTCAGGCTGCTTCTAGCTGAGGCTGATTTAGGCCCCATGAGCCCCTATAAAAACTCATTTGCTGCCCGGGTAGGATTTCACTCAGACTTAGTATTAGGGGAAGGGCTGGGGAGGGTGCGTCACACTGTGACCCTGAGTCCTGGGCTCTCCCCTTCCCCACTGTCCATGTCCCTCATATTTCATGTGACTCTTCTCTCCTTCTCACACCCAAAGCTTAGACTTTCCATTCTCTGTTCCTTGGACCCAAGTTAGCCTCCTTCTCTTAATCCCTGTAAGGAAGGAGAAATCAGTCATCACCACCACCAGCCCCTCCACCCCCCGCCGACTCCCAACTCCCTCCCCACCCCCTGAGCAGGTCTAAGGTCTGGGAAGGCTTGGAAGAAGGCACTTGATGACCTGGGCGTTAGGTTCAGAGCCAGGTGGGTGGCAGGAGTGCTGACATCTCTTCAGATGCTGGAAGGCACTAGGGGGTTTGCACGTTGTTCTGGTGGAGTCAGAGGTCTCCCCCTGCCCCACCTGGAAGTGACTCTGGCCTCACAGAAGCTTTGCTCTCTGCTTCAGAAACATGGCCGGGGCCAGGTGCTGTTTGACCTGGTCTGTGAGCACCTCAACCTCCTGGAGAAGGACTACTTTGGCCTGACCTTCTGTGATGCTGACAGCCAGAAGGTACCTGGGCTGGGGAGCAGGGCTGGCAGGGGAGGCCTGCTGTGGGGGAGACTTCTTCTATGGCCCCCATAGTCTTGGTGGTATCCCATGGCTTCCATCAGATCTTCATTAGGCACTTCTGTTCTCTGTGTCCACTCTATCCCCCAGTCCTTTCTTGGGGACCTGAATGCCACTCCAGATGGGTATCTGGAGAACCAGCCATGGCTTCCTGGGGGAACTGAGGCACTTCCCCCACCCTTGGGAGGCTCCTAGTTTCTTCCTTCCACCAGTCTCACCGCAGCTGTATTACCTGTTCACTGTGCTGCCTCAGGGCAATGCCACCCCAGGGCCCTGAGTCCCAGACTCTGTGATGAATCCAGGCCTTATTCCCTTACCTCCCAGTCCCAAGGAAAAGGGCCCAGAAAGCTCAGCCAGGGAAGGGTGCTCCCGCCAGGGTCTGTCAGGGGGGCTATTTCAGGATGTTGCTCTCTCCTGGACCTATTTGGGTCCTCTTCTTTATCTTCCCGCTAATGAACTCTGTTTTCTCTTGCAGAACTGGCTGGACCCCTCCAAGGAAATCAAGAAGCAGATCCGGAGTGAGTGGCCGGCTGTGGTTGGGAATGTGGTGGAAGGGTGGGCAGGGCTCCAGGCAGTGGGGCCGCAGTTGTGCTGCTCTGTCCTACTTTGGGAAGTGTATTCAGATCCTTGAGTTCATTTGCTCCATGGAAGATCCTGGGGAAGGCAGGGCATGGTTTTATAGATGAGGAGCCTGAGGCCTAGATAAGAGAAATGACTGTGCAGTGATTTTCAATCCTTTTCATCTCATGGCACACATAAACTAATTACTAAAATTCTGTGCTACACCAAAAAATATATATTTTTACTGATCTGACCAAAAAAAAGGTATAATTTTGGTTAGTTTCCCCCCCACACACATTGATTTTTAGAGAGAGAGGAAGGGAGAGAGAGCGAGAGAGAAACATCAATCGGCTGCCTCCTGCACACCCTCTGTGAGGGATCAAGCCCGCAACCCCTGTATGTGCCCTGCGGAATTGAACCAGCAACCTTTAGGTGATCTGCAAACAATTGAGCCATACCAGCCAGGCCTCAGTTTGGTTAAATAGGTATAATTTTGATTCATTCACACCAGATGACTATTTTTGTATTGGCTGTTATTTTTTTTTTTTTAATCCTCACTTTGAAGACATGTTTATTGATTTTAGAGAGAGAGAAAGGGGGGGGGGAGAGAGAGAGAGAGAGAGAGAGAGATCAGTTGCCTCCCGTACACACCCTGACCAGGGATTGAACCTAAAACCTAGGTGTGTAACCTGATCTAGAATCGAACCTGCAATCTTTTGGTGTACGGGACAACACTCCAACCAACTAAGCCACTCAGCGAGGCTGCTGTTGTCATTTTTAAATTTACAATCTAAGGGAAAAGAGGTCAGTGTCCATGACTAGATAGTTAGTTACTGCATGTTTTAAAATTTTCTGTGGCACACAGTGTGCCTACTGTGGCATACCAGTTGAAAATCACTGTTCTAGCCCGGCTGTGGTGGCTCAGTGGTTGAGTGTCGAACTACGAACCAGGAGGTCATGGTTCGATTCCTGGACTTGATCCCCAATCGTGCAGGAGGCAGCCGATATTCTCTCTATCATTAATGTTTCTATCTCTCTCCCTCTCCCTTCCTCTCTGAAATCAATAAAGATATATTTTTTAAAAAAGAAAAAGAGAAAAAATCTCTGGTCTAGAGTCACACAGTAGTTTAGCCAAGGGATCACAGATGCCCTCAGGATGTCAGCACTAGAAGGGACTTGCAGAGGCATCTAGGACCAGGGGGTAAACTTATGACCTGAAAACAGCCCCCCTCCTCTCCAGGGCTAGTGGAGGCTTCAGTGGTCAGTGACCCCTGACTCAGCTCAGAATCCTTGCCCACACAGCACTCATGGCCACTGCCAGCTGACAGGAGTTAGTATGTCAGAAGTCTAGGCTCTTCCCTGATCGTGGCATCTCCTGTATTCAACGATGGGTGACTGAGGCCCAAAGAGAGACAGTTATCTGCTCAAGGTCACAGAGCAAGGTATTGGCTGAGCCGGGTCTGCAGCCCTGGCCTCCCCACACCATCCTGCACTCTTTCAAGGTCTGGGGCAAAGGCAGATGAGCAGGCTGACAACCTGTGCTTTATGTTGGGAGGGGTGGGGCTCAGATAGCAGAAGGAGGAGGTAGGTGACCTCAGAGAGGGACCATGCAATAGGCGGAGACCTAGAGCCTAGACAACCCTCCCCCTTGCTTGGACTCTCTGGTCCCTGGGCTAGAAGGCTCTAGCGAAGCCTGTTGCTATGACAGCAGGCAGCTGGGCCCAGGGATGGCAGCTGACTCTGTGGGAGGGGGCTTAAGGAATTCTTCCTGTAAGCTGCTGTCAGTTGTAGACAAAGAGAGAGGCACACAGACAGAGCATGCTCCTCTGGAGCCGACGGGCCTTAGGCCTGGGCTCAGGCTGTCCCCAGGAGCCCCAGCCTGGCTGGGCGGCCTGGCTCCCCTGCGTGAAAGAATCAGAACAAGTACAGTGAGCAGTGCCTGAGAAGGACCCAAAGCTTGGAAAAGAGAAGCGCTGGCCATTGTGGGTCCCAGCTCCCTCCCCCCGGCAGGGTCAGTGCCCTCGTGTCATCATCGGAGCAGTGCTGCCTCCTATATAAAGCCACAGTCTCTGCCCTACCCGTGTAACTTCCACCCATTCATTCAAGTTCCGTGTTCTGGGACCCCAGGGAGCAATTTTTACGCCCTTTCTTTAAGATAGCCCTCCCCCGCCCAGCCTTCTGAAGGTGGCACAAGTCCTTATCTTGGCCTTCGGAGTTGGGTATGTTTCCTCTCAAATCTCTGTGTTCATCACTGAGGGTACTGGGGGCAGTTCCTCCAGCCCTCTGGGCTCTTGCTTCTCCTTGGCAAGCAGATTAATGACTCCTACCTCACCTGGTGGAGGTGACCATTAAATAACATATGTGTGGACAGTACCTGCCGCCTAGCAGGGGCTTCTCTGAGGCAGTGTGGTGTGGTGCTTAAAAGGAGAGCGAATGATGCTAGACTGCCTGGATTTGATTTCTGACTCCATCACTACTTCTTGTATTGTTTTTTGCCTCAGTTTCTTCATCTGTCAAGTGGGAATGGTGATAGTATGTACCTTTAGGGTTGTTGTAAGGATTAAACGAGTTATTAGGTACCTGCACAAGTAGCATCCAGTATGTATTAGTTACTATCATCATTATTATTATTTCTGAGGCAGAGATTATTTCCCCTTAAGGCTTCTTTCTTTATTTTTTTTAAAAAAATAATTTTATTGATATTTAGTGAGAGAGAGAAAAGAAGAGGGAGCGAGAGAGAGAAACATGATCGGCTGCTTCTTGCACCGGGGATTGTGTCTTCAATGTATGCATGTGCCTTGAACAGGAGTTGAGCTGACAACCTTTCCGTGCCTGGGATGATGCCCATCCAATTGAGCCACACTGGCCAGGGCTCCCCTTGAGTATTCTTTTGCCAAGGAGTCAGCTGTGGTCAGGAGCCTGGATTCTGAGGTCAGATGACCCAAGGTTAGACCCCTGTTTTCTTTTTTTTAAATGTTTTTATTGGTTTTGAGAGAGAGAGAGAGAGAGAGAGAGAGAGAAAGAGAGAGAGAGAAAGAGAAACATCGATGAGGGAAAAACATCAATATCGATTGGCTGCTTCCTGCATCCCCTTGCTGGGGATCGAACTCACAACCCACAACCCAGGCATATGCCCTGACCGGGAATCAAACCTGTGACATGAGTTGATGCTCAACCAATGAGCCACGCCAGCCGGACTAGGCCTCTGTTTTCTACTGCTGACCAGCTGAGTGACCCTGGGAGAGTTACTTAACCTCTCAAAATCTTTAGTATGTGTGCTGCCGAAGTGAGCACATCTCTCAAAATCTTCATCTATAGGAAGGAAAGTCAACCTCAGGATCATTATGAAGATTAAATTCCTATACATCAGTGGTTCTCAACCTGTGGGTCGCGACCCCTTTGGCGGTCGAACGAACCTTTCACAGGGGTCGCCGAAGACCATCCTGCATATCAGATATTTACATTACGATTCATAACAACATTACAGTAGCAACACTACAGTTATGAAGTAGCAACATTACAGTTATGAAGTAGCAACGAAAATAATTTTATGGTTGGGTCACAACATGAGGAACTGTATTTAAAGGGCCAGAAGGTTGAGAACCACTGCTTATACATGCCTGTAACATGTAGTAAACCCAAGTGACCAGAGCTTAGTAAGTGTTGGAGACATGACAGCTAAAAGGTGAAGAGGGTGATGAAGAGGATGGTAGTGACAGCATGGCCTCCAGTCGTCATGACTACTGCCCTGTCCTGGATGGGCCTCACTTTCTCACTTTGTCGGGCCTTTGTAGAGCATGGAACCCCAAATGTCTCAGGGGTGGTCTAACCATTGTTCTGGATTACAGCCTTTCATCAACACCTCCTGCTGTTTCTTTCCCGGTCCCCTCTCCCTCCTGCCCCAGCCCCTCCCACCACCAACCTCTCTTCCTTTCTTAAGTGGTCATCCCTTCTCTTGGCTTACTGAGCTAGTTTCCAGCTAAAACCTCAGCCTTTATTTCTGTCTGCCTTCTATAGATGTACCATTAATTTTTCATATCTCAATGTGGAGGTTAACATTTACCCCTGTGAAATGACCTTTGTTACTTTTAGCCCATCGTATTTGCCTTTTAGGTCTTGTTTATAATCCAATTCTGTCATTTGAGATAGAGTTAAAGTGAGATAGGGCAGAGTTTTCCAGTGTGTTTCAGGGAACATTAATCTGCCTTATAAAAAATGGATACAGCAGGTCAGATAAGTTTTGGGAAGTCTTGAATGCTTGTCTCCTCTAGAGAGGTACAATTTATAATGGCAGAGTGAGGGCTCTGCGAAGTCTAAAGTTAGAAAACCTGTTTAATGTGGTGCTTTTAGACTTCCTTTCTTCCCATTAATGTCCTGTCGCCTAGACTGTCCTGAAAAGGAAGGGGCACGAGCTCTGGAGCCAGGTGGGCCTGGTCTGAAACCCAGCACCGCCCTTTCTCGCTGGGTGACCTTGGGCTGACAACTTTACTGCCTGAGCCACAGTGTCCTCATTTGCAACATGGGGACAATCATCAGACTTACTCATAGGGTTGTTGTAAGATATAATGAAACAGTGTTTGTAAAAATAATGAATGGGTGCACAACTGGTGTTCTTTCTTTCTACCTTTCTTCCCACTGCTAGTTTACGATAAGTCTCTTAACCTGGGCCTCAGTCTTCTCATCTGTCAAGTGGGAACAATGTTCCAGATTCTCTGATTAGATTGTCCTGAGATTATACATATGAGACGACTGTGAAAATTGCTGATAGGATGGTTTGTCTGGGCCACCCACTGGGTAATGGCACCTCTCTGATCTCTGCCCCATCTTCTTTCAGGCAGCCCCTGGAATTTTGCCTTCACAGTCAAGTTCTACCCCCCTGACCCTGCCCAGCTGACAGAAGATATCACAAGGTGAGGGCTGTGGAGGGAGGTGGCAGGTATGCTGGCTGGGGGAGGCGCAGGGTGGTATGTGATGGCAGTTGCAACCTCAGGTGCCTACCTAGGCCAGGCAGACACCATCATAAAAGAAGATGACTCAGTGCAAGAGAAAGGGATGCAGACATAATGGTCAATGGCAGGTGACCCTTCACTTCAGAGGGAGAGGTGTCACAGGGAGCAGTGGGGACCAATGTGAATCCAAGAGGACAGACGCCATCTAAGGCAGTTGCTGTTGAGCTTGGGCAATCACGGCCTTATGAGAATTGGGCCCAATTTGAAAGTAAAAACATCACAATTTTTAAACGTTGGAAACGAATTTAAATATTTTTTAAAACGTGGTGTGGGACGTCCTTGGGTAGGACCAGCCAAACACATCTGAAGATCTGATGTGCTGGGTGGACCACCAGCTTTCAACTTTGGGGATAAAGAGGGAGTAGAGCGCAGATCCTTCCCAAGCGGGAGTTTTGTCCTGTGTGCTGTTCTGTGCACGTGTCAGGCATGTGGGGGTCAAATGAAGCATGTGACAATCCCCATGGAGGCAGCCTGGACTGCACGGGTGCACATGGATTGCATGTGTAGTCTCACTGTAGCTTGAAGATTGAAAGAGGGGGCAAAGCATCTTTCAAGATGAGAACAGTGAGAGGCCTTTCCCTTTTCCAAGCTTCTTCTAAGAGTCTCATCCATGTGCTGGGCCCTACAGGCCCACCAACAATAAGATGTGGGCTTGGAGTTTTCCCCACAGCAGGGAAGGGCTATAGAATCAGCCCCTCCCTCCCACCGGGCCCTTCTTTCATAATGTTGGCTGCCTGTTTGCCCGGCAATGGGCCAAGGTCAAGAGGCTGACTTTGGCCTTGAGAGATAAGACAGTTGTCCCTGGAATAGATCTGGCCCGAGGCCTCGGGCTCATTAGCCCTGAGGTCCGGCTTGGGGCCAAGATTGAGCATCAGTGTCTGACCTCCATTCCCAGGAGGGCTGAGAGCTTTAGACCAGGCCAGGCCCCGATCCCCTGGCCTCGCCCACTCACGCCTCTCCTCTTAGTGCCAGTCCCTGCCCGGGCATCAGGCTTCCAGTGACCCCCAGGGGGGAAACTAGCTTTGTCCAGCTTGGATGATCCCAGGGAATGGGGTGATTTAGTAAAAAAAAAAAAATTCAGGCCCAAAATAAACTGGTCAAAATGACAAATGGATTGAAATGAAATATTGATCAGAGTGCTTGGCAGTGATTTCTGAAATCTTAGACTTGACCCGAACGCCCATCTGTCCACACTTGCTGCCTGTGAAGTGTGAGCTGCTGCTGGTTCTGAGCCTCTGCCTTGGCCCTGGGCACACACTGAGGCTGTACGTGCTTCCTGCCAGAGCTCCAGTTCAGACTGCAAAACAACATCATGAGCAGTAAAAATTATTTTAAGTAAAAGCCACCTAAAAGAAAACAGGCAGTTGAAAAAATGGTGAAACATAGCAACGTGGGCAAGTAGGCATTGCTGGTGGAGACCGGACTGAAGCATTCTTTTTAATAAGCAATAACTGAAAAAGCAATAAAAAATGGCTCTAAAAATTGTAAAAGCATCCAAGTGCGCATAAAAATTATAAAAAATCATGGCCTCGTGGTTGGAAATGTTTCTTTTAAACCAATTTATTTTTAGACCATTCACTTAGCGCTAGAGGCAAAATAAAAAGTGTTGAGAAAACATTGGCAAATGGGTCTGTCCAGGCTGTGGGCGCGCTATGCAGAAGTTAAAATGAATGAGGTCAGGTCTCACATGCTGACCTGGGAAGGGCTGTAAGGCAAGTTGTAGAATCAGAGGTAGCATTTGGTACTATGTACATGTTAACAACACTCATGAATAAAACCACATGCCCTTCTGTATGTCCATGGAGGAAAAAAAGTCAAGAACACAGCAGATAACAGGGGTGACCTCTGGTGGAGGGGGGGGTCCTGAAAATGGACATCAAGAGGAAGTTTACACCTCTAAAGTTTACATTTTTCCACAATAAAAATATATTAATTGTATAAACAAAAAATACATTACATTTTCAGAAAGTGATCAACGTAGTCCCACTGAGCTTGAAAATGAATTAGAAATTGAAAATGCTCTCACAGTAGGAAAAATCCTTCAAATTTAGACGTGAACAGAAATGCTTAAAATATGAAATGGCACAAAACCCTCTCATCAGACACACCCAAAATATCAACACGTGAAATGCTAGTGTCAAGGATCATTCCTTTTCTACTGAGCTGAGGTTGGTTCTGATGGATCAGTGGGCATCTCGGGTGGGAGAGGCACCGTGCCCATGCCCACTCTCCCCTATCTCCAGATATTACCTGTGCCTGCAGCTGCGGGCAGACATCATCACAGGCCGGCTGCCCTGCTCCTTCGTCACGCACGCCCTGCTGGGCTCCTACGCCGTGCAGGCGGAGCTGGGCGACTATGATGCCGAGGAGCATGTGGGCAACTACGTCAGCGAGCTCCGCTTCGCCCCCAACCAGACCCGAGAGCTGGAGGAGAGGATCATGGAGCTGCACAAGACATACAGGTGAGAGGGCCTACGCCCAGGGCCTTCCCTGGCTCATAGAACTGTCCCTGCTGCACCCCAGATGCAGGGCTGTAAGTACTCTACCTGACTCTGCTGCTAATTTGAGGTGCAAATCTGAGGGCAAATCATCTCATCAAATGAGAATGATAGTAACTAGCTGCATAATCTTAAATGACCTCTTGGGACCACAGATTCTAAGCTCCTGTATAAGTGTGATGATGCCCTGTCCTTGGTTTCTGAAAATCAGTTTCCTTATCTGTCCACTGGAGATAATAGTAACTATTATGTGTCCCTGAGTCAGTGTCCTGATGTCTTGATTGTGGCATGAAGTTCAAAAGCTTGCACTCTAAAGCCGGACTGCCTGTGTTCACCGGCTGGCTCTGCCACTGTCACACAAGGGGATCTCAGCCCTGTCATTTTACTTACCTCTGCTTTAATTTCCTCATCCGTTCAGTGTGGGCGCTAATGAAACCTGCTTGGAGGGTGGCTGGGAGGACTAAGTGGCACATAATAAAGATCCACCATATGCTCTCTGTGATTTGAGGGCTTGAATAGTTGTGCAGAGGAAAGCACTTTGTTGCAGAAGTTAGATGATTAGCTAGATGTGTGGTTGTGGGCTGGCTATTTAATCTATCAACCTCATTCTTTTTTTTTAATTATTGATTTGTTTAGAGAGAGAGGTAGGGAGAGAGAGAGAGGAGAGAGAGAGAGAGAGAGAGAGAGAGAGAGAGAGAAACATCCATAAGAGAGAGTCATGGATCAGTTGCCTCCTGCACGCCCCCTACTGGGGATCGAGCCTGCATGTGCCCTGACCAGAAACTGAACCCGGGACCCTTGAGTCCACAGGTCGATGCTCAACCACTGAGCCACGCTGGCCGGGCTCAACCTCATTCTTTACCTGTATTTGCACAGACCTAGATTACCACTGTTTCTCAACTATTGGTCTTTGGAGCAGGAGAATTCATTCTGGAAGATGTTTGACATTCCTGGGCCCCAGCTATTAAGTGCTCTTATCAACCCCTCAGTCATTATACAACCCAAATGTTCCGTTCCATTTCCAAATGCCCACTATGAGGGTGGTACCATCCCCTGGGAGGAACCCCTGAAAATGAATGGTCTCTAGGGTCCTGTCAAGTTGGAAGAGCTTTGGGCTCTAGGCCAGGATTGTTCTGGGAACCCAGTGTGGTAAAGAATGTGAAAGTGCGTTATAAACTGTACAGTGCTGTGCCCGTGGGAGCAGGTATGGTGATGTTTTCTCATTGCTAATAAGGATGGAGGGAAGGAGGAGGGCTGTGTCCTGGGGCTGAATCAGGAGAGGAGGTCCAGGGCCAGACGTGGAGGGATCATGTATGTGGGGAAGAAAGCCTGCTGGGGTGTGATGGAATGCTGCATCAGGGTGGCAGACGTGTCTTTCTGAGACTTGCACACGACTCTGATTGGTTAGCAATGGCTGTTGCTGTATTGTGTTGAGTAGGATACTGAAACCATATGATGGGTTAGCAGTGTCTGCCTGGCTCGGGAATAGGGAGTGATGGCCTGCCTACCATCTCTTTGTCATTCCTGTTGTGGGTATTAGGATGTGTTAGGGATCTGCAAGAGTCAGAATACAGGCATGCCTTGTTTGATTGCACTTCACAGATACTGAGTGTTTTATAAATTGAAGGTAAGACCCTCCACCAGCCAAAGGATTACGAGTTGCTAGAGGCTCAGATAACAGCATTTTTTTTTTTTTAGCAATACAGTATTTTAAAATTAAGCTATGTCTATTTTTTTATACACAATAGTACTGCACACTTAATAGACTACAGTATAGTATAAACATACTGGGAACCTGACAAATTTGTGTGGCTTGCTTTTCTGTGATATTGGTTTCATTCTGGTGGCCTGGAAGTGAACCTGCAATATCTTCAAGGTCTGTCTGTGATTCAGAGAAAGAAGTTTAGATCAATATGGGCTGGAAAAATGCTGATGGCCATCCCTTTACAGCTCTTTCAACTGAGAGCACATTGACAGCTGCTGTCCAGGTATTCCACACAGCACCTCACTGAGCTGTACAGAGCAGAGGAAACAGGCCTGCAGGATATGAGACAGATGTAAATGTAATAGTTAGGAACACAGACTCTGGACCCACATTGTCTGGATTCAAATCCTGACTTTGCTACTCAGTAGCTGTGTGTCCTTAGGCAAGTTATTCAACCTCTCTGTGCCACAGCTTCCTCAGCTGTAAAATGGGAAAAATGATAATACCTATTTATAGAATTGTTTTGAAGATTCAACAACTTCAGACATGCAAAGGGCTTGGAACAGTAAACTCACGCAGTCCTCAATAAATGTTAGCTGTGACTGAGTGTAAAATGTATGGTTTCCTGGCGGTCAAAGCAAAAAAGGCCCTTGTATAACTTCTTTTCAGAAAGGAAAAAGGGCACCTGTTCCTCAGGGGAGGTTAAGTGGTTTCTGATATAATTTTCTAAGATATATATATATTTATATTTAATGAATATTTACTATATAGAATTGTGAAAGATACTATGAGATGTCAGGAAGGCATAATACATGTCTCCTACTCACTAAATGCTATAATCAGGACTCATAATCAGGCCTTTTTGACTCCAAATCCTGTATATAAGATAAATATCTTATGTGGGCAGTGATTCCGGAGTCCCTGGGTGATTATAATGGACAGCCTTCCACAACAGCTTCATGGTCATGGAGAAGCAGGACTTATGGCTCACACTTAAACTCAGTGGCAGAATGAGACAAAAATCCTGACTCCCGGCCCAGCCCTTGAATGCTTCCTGAAGGAAACAAGATTGGACTTGAGTTTGGCAGGAGATGGGGGTTGGGTAGACTGAAGAGGGGTCTGGGGTGCACCATCCTGCATTGAGAGCAGCGAGGAGGTCTAGCCATATACCACTCCAGAACGTTTGCCTTCCTAGAATCACAGGTTCTGGCTGTGGCCGCCTTCAGGCAGCAGGGCTCAGGCGTGGCCTTTCCCATGGCCACCTGTGATCCCTCTCTTTCCATTAGGGGCATGACCCCAGGAGAAGCAGAAATCCACTTCCTGGAGAACGCCAAGAAGCTTTCCATGTACGGAGTAGACCTGCACCATGCCAAGGTACCGCTGGGTCCCAGGACCCCTAGCATCTGGGGGCCCCCATTGAACTATGATGTTCTCCTGGAGGGCTTGGTGTGCCAGACCCTGCATGCCTGCCAACCTGAAGCCTCAAAGTTCCATAACCCTTTATTCTCCCGTGACCCTTACCATTGTTTCCTTGTGTTATATTTATTTTTGAACCTGTTTTTGCCACCACTAGATTGGGAGCATAGTGAGGGAAATACAGGGCCTTAATTTATTTCTGTATCCCTAGTGCCATGGTCGGCAAACTGCGGCTCGTGAGCCACATGCGGCTCTTTGGCCCCTGGAGTGTGGCTCTTCCTAAGCCTTAGGAGTACCCTAATTAAGTTAATAACAATGTACCTACCTATATAGTTTAAGTTTAAAAAATTTGGCTCTCGAAAGAAATTTCAGTCGTTGTACTGTTGATATTTGGCTCTGTTGACTAATGAGTTTGCCGACCACTGCCCTAGTGTGTAGCCCATGGCCTGGCACCGAATATGTACCATTAAGTGTTTGCTGGATGAATAAGTGATTAACCAAGAAAATAATAGAGCAAGTGAGTGGGGGGATAAATGACAAAATGAAGGAGTGAATGGTTAAATGACTGTGTGAGGGATGGTCAGGGGACTCCAGCACAGAGCCTCCAAGTCCACCTGCTCCTTGGGCTCATTTATAAGTAGAGCACAGGAGGAACTTGGGGTCGGGGGCAGGCTGCCCCAGGCGTGGGCACCAGGCCTGCTGTTCCATGGTCCCTTCTCACGCAGGACTCTGAGGGCATTGACATTATGTTAGGAGTCTGTGCCAATGGCCTGCTCATCTACCGGGACCGACTGAGGATCAACCGCTTCGCTTGGCCCAAGATTCTCAAGATCTCCTACAAGAGGAGTAACTTCTACATCAAGATCCGGCCCGGGGAGGTGAGCCTGCTTGGGAATCCCCCCTCCTCCCCCAATTGACTGGAATGGAGAGAATATGGTAGCTGGGCCTGGATTTTTCCTACTCAGGAGACATGGATGGCGGTGCTGGGGTGCTGGGTATGGAGAGATCATCTTCTGCTGGGGCTCTTCTCAGACATTTCACACCTTAGGTATGTCCTGCACACACACACACACACACACACACGAGCACATGCACAAGCACACATGTAAAGGTAATCACATATATTCGGTATACATAGAATACATGCCCTTGTCCCTGTATTTGCTTACATGTAATACTCAAGTACGTACACATACATGTAGACACACAACTACACACAAGCAAACATGTATTCATCCAGCCTCCACAGCTGACTCTAGAATAAATACGAACCCATCTGCTTCTTGTCTCCCCACTGCACCAGCTACCAGCAGCAGTCATCTCTCATCTTCATCTCCACCACATCCTTCTCGTTCCCCTGCCCCCACTGTCACTCCAGGCCATTTTCTTCATAGCTGCTAAAGAGAGCTTGGAAGTCCCTTCCATCATAGCATGTGAAACTCACCCCTATTCCCAGTCCTAGATTAAATGTTTCAAGAGCTTTCTTTTTAGCTTTTGGGCTAAAGCCCACACTCGTCTGTGGCCACCTGCCTCCCCCACATTGCCCCATGCCTGCTGCACTCCAGCCCCTTTGGCCCTCTCTGAAATCCTTGAATAAGCAAGCCCTTCCCACCATGAGCCCTTTGCTTTTTCTTCCTCTACCTGAAATCCTCTTCCCCACCCTCTCAGATAGCTGGTTCCTTCCCCATCCTTCAGATCACCTTTCTAAAATAGTACCCACCCCTGCGCCTACACAGGTATTCTGTCACATCACACACTTCTGTCCAGTCCCTTCATGACTTTATCCGTATCTGAAATGCTCTTGTTTACTTATTTATGATCAAAGTCCCCTCCTCCCTGAATCTTCTGTCTTGATCACTATGGTGTCTCTCTTGCTCTAGACCAGTGATGGTGAACCTGTTGAGCTCGGCATGTCAGCATTTTGAAAAACCCTAACTTAACTCTGGTGCTGTGTCACATATATAAATTTTTTGATATTTGCAACCATAGTAAAACAAAGACTTATATTTTTGATATTTATTTTATATATTTAAATGCTATTTAACAAAGAAAAAAATCTATCAAAAAATGAGTTCGCATGTTACCTCTGACACGCGTGTCATAGGTTCGCCATCACTGCTCTAGGCCGATTACAGAGTAAGGGCTCAGTCCACATTATTGAGTAAACGAATCCTATATAATAAAACCCTAATATGCAAATCGACCGAATGGCCAAACAACCGGTTGATATGATGTGCACTGACCATCAGGGGGCAGACACTCAATGCTGCCCCCTGGTGGTCAGTGTGCTCCCACAGGGGGAGCATCGCTCAGCCAGAAGCCTGGCTCATGGCTGGCGAGCGCAGTGGCGATCGCCTCTGCTGCAGGCGGGTAGTAAGGAGCGAGGGGTCCTGGACTGTGAGAGTCCCAGACTGCGAGAGGGATGTCTGACTGCTGGCTTAGGCCTGATCCCTGGGGAGACTGAGCTTAAGCCGGCAGGCGGAAATCCCCCAAGGGGTCCTGGACTGTGAGGGTGCAGGCTGAGCGGAGGAACGCCCCCCCCCCCACCAGTGCACAAATTTTGTGCACTGGGCCTCTAGTGAATAAATAAAAGAACAGGCCAGAGTCATGCATGCTGTAAAGAGGTTCAAAAGGATGGACTGATGGCGAGAGGGGCTCAGGTCTTGCTTCTTACCCACCCTCCTTGGTTTTGCAGTATGAACAGTTCGAGAGCACAATTGGCTTTAAACTCCCAAACCACCGGTCAGCCAAGAGACTGTGGAAGGTCTGCATTGAGCATCACACATTCTTCCGGTGAGCCAGACCCGGGGATGGGGTAACTGGGGGTGAGACAGAGGCTGTGAGTATATGTGTGGGTGATGTCTGTGTTTTATGAGGGCAGAGCAGGAGGAGAAGGTAGTAAGGATAATAGGAAAGACCTCCCTCCTCTTTCCCCTCCTGGACCACAGAGTGTAGCTGGTGGGACAGTGGGATGAAAGGCCAGCTGTGGTCCCGCCTTGGACCTGGAAAAGCAGGTATGATTCCCCCTCCTCACCTCCATCCCTCCACTGCAGGCTCGTGTCCCCTGAACCCCCACCCAAGGGCTTCCTGGTGATGGGCTCCAAGTTCCGGTATAGTGGGAGGACCCAGGCACAGACCCGCCAGGCCAGCGCCCTCATCGACCGGCCCGCTCCCTTCTTCGAGCGTTCCTCCAGCAAACGGTACACCATGTCCCGCAGCCTTGATGGAGGTATGCCCTAAATTGGAGGTGGGAGAAGAGTGGTGTTCAGAGGGAAGGAGATGGGCATGCCAGGTGCAGAATGAGCAGTGAGGGTGGTAGACACATCACAGGTTGACTTGCACTGGGCATGGTGGCCCAAGAGCACCACTGCAGCTGGGCAGCTCTCAGTGGTTTAGCCCCAACCTATGGCCTCACTATCGCTAGGATGTGACATTGCCCCTCCTAGACTTCCAGGGACTTCGTTGAGCCTTTTGGGGTCCCAGGTTTAGCCACATAGGTTTTTGGGCCCCCTGCCTAAGATGCTTAGTGATTCATGGGTTGTCATCATACCAGGAGAATAATGTATTATGACTGCAGTGTGGAGTTGGTGATGCCTTACCTGACTGGAGGCGGAGGGGTTGTTCCCAGTCATTCTTTTGGTTCCATTAAACTGATTGACACTAACACATGGCACGCTCTGTTGGGCTGACAGGTGCCCTTAATATCAACAAGAATTGGCCCTACATTGTCCTCTGTCCAGCAGACCAGAGCTTCTCAAAATGTGGTTGTAGACCACCTGCATCAGAATCACCTGTGGGTCCACTAAGCATGCAGATTCCCAGGCCCTGGCCCAGACATACTAAATTGGCATCCCTCGGGGCCCTGACTCCCCCCAGTATGCACACTGGAGTTTGTAGGGGAGATTCAGAAGCCACGTGGGATAAAAACACTGGGGAGATTCAGAGTTTGGCAGATCTGAGTTCAAATCTCAGCCTTGACTCTCACCAGCTACTCTGTGGACACAGGATGTGGCCCGTAAACATCTGAATGAACGGATGGGAGGCCTTGAGCAACTTAACTCCCTGTGCCTATTTCCTCTTCTACAAAATAAAGATTATTTACTTCGCTATGTTATGAGATAATGCCTCTACAACACCCGAAACAATTCCTGGCATATAATCGTAACGTAATAAGTAATACCCAATAACACGTTATTGTTTATTGTATCAGTAATAAATTATTATTATTGCTTTTAGATTTGTAGAGTATGGTTTAAAGGTAGGAGGTGGGGACTTGAGTGGGGGAAATAGTGGCTACTCCCAGAACACACTGGGGCAGGACTCTCGACAGATATTTTCTGAGTCTTAGAATAAGTATGGCCCGTTCCTGTGAGGAACTCCTAGAAGAGTGGGTTTATAAACATTCAACGTGATTCAAACAATGGAAGAAGTACAGAATACAGAGTAGCCTTGGGAGAGAGGGATTAATTCTGTCTAGGAGGAGCAGGAAGGGCTTTGCAAAGAATGTGACAACGGGGCAGGGTTTTGAAGGATACCTGGGAGTTTCCCAGGTGATCGGGGAGTCTGATACGTTTCCTGCAGCATGAAGGTGAGACCTGTTCCAGAACTCCCCGGCCCTTTTTGAAGGACATGCAGTTTTGCAAAGGTCCATTTGGAACTGAGGAAGCTCCTTATTCTTGAATGGGCACAGGACGGGGAGCTAAGTTTTATGCAAAAAGAAAGGAGGGCCCATACTGTCTCTCTGTCCTCCCCTGCAGCTTTCATTACTATGCCAGGGGCAAAATGAAGCCCAGATTGTGCAAGGCAGCAAAGATTGGCCCAGATTTGACGATGCTCATCAAGAGGGGGCCGGAAGCCTGGACTCGAAGCCAGTAGGCCTGGGTTCTTCTCCTGATTCACTGAAAGATCTCAGAGTCTCTGTAAAATGAGGATAATAATTCCCATTCTAGTCATCAACACAGAGCACTGTGGGCTCAAATGAAATAGTGTGCATGAAGGGGCACTTTGCAGAGTAAATATATATAAATAGAAAGGATCATTCTCTCCTTTTTAATCTAGGCCCATTCCAAGGATGATCTGTGCTCCGGTCATTCACTGTTTTCCAGCCATTTTCTTGCCCCCAAGACATAATCCGTGGGCATAGTCTGAGTTATGCCCAGTGTCTGGAGTAAAGGGTGTAATTCTACCCTTTTCTCTCCTGTTCAGGAAAGTACTTGGAATGCCAGCAAAGTGAGAAAGATGTTACTGCAAGGATTCCCTTGAATTTTCCTCGAGTTATAAAGAAGCTACATTATTTGCAAACCTCAGGACTTTAGCTTTCACTAGTAAAAGCTAATCCCACGATATCTGTGTCTTGTTAGATAATGGGCAAGTGAGCATTCTGCCACAAATGCCGCAACAAGAAAATCAACATTTGTGGGCCAACACTGACTGAATTGGCTCACTCTGTGGCAGCCACTCTTCAAAATACTTCTATACATGAGCTTATTTGTTCCTCCCCCAGTTGTCTGAAGTAGGTACTGTTTATAGATGAGAAAACGGAGGCCCAGAGAGGTTGTATAACTTACCCAAGGTCACACAACTTAGGAGAGAGAGATTTGAGATTTGAACCTGGGCTCTAGTATTATAGAAATCAGGAAGGGACTGGCAGGCAGTCCACGTGACCTGGGGAAGGCTGTTTCAGTCCAGTTGGGCACTGGTTTCTTATTTCCAATGTGCTGGGGTGTGGAAGTTTCTGCTCCGCTCTAAGCAAAGTTGGGCAAGTGGCAAGGCCGACGCCCTGTCCGTGCACCTGGGAGATGTCTCACGTGGCTGCCCGGCTGTTTCTGCCCACTTCAGCGGAGTTCTCCCGCCCAGCCTCGGTCAGTGAGAACCACGACGCAGGACCTGATGGTGACAAGCGGGAGGAAGACGGCGAGTCTGGGGGGCGGCAGTCAGAGGCCGAGGAGGGAGAGGTCAGGACCCCCACCAAGATCAAGGAGCTGAAGGTAGGAGTCTGACTTTCTTATACCTACTGATCTGGGGGTCAGGTGGCTGATCCTGTCTTTGGCCTTGGCCTGCAGGTGCCCCTGGCTGAGCACCCTTGCTAGGGGTACACCAAGCTCAGAGCTTGCCCTTGGGCCATGCTCAATACCTGCACATCCCAGGTGTGGGGGGCATGCTGCTCGCCATACACCCTCCCCTCCTTTTGCCTTGCTTTCCCAGAGGGCATTCTGTACCCTAGGGGACTCTGACCTCCTCTTGCCCACTCTGAATTTGCCCCTTGGACTACAATTTGGATCTGCACAGGCCTCTTTTCCCCCAGAGCATGCTGGGGTGTTTCTGCAGGCCCTCACAGTGTGCCCCCCTCTTGTTGTCCACCCCCATTTCTCATATACCTGTGCACACACTCCTGCAGGAACACTTGGCCCCAGACTTGCATGCATTCACTCAAAGATATTCACCCCTCTCCCACAGGGTTACGTATCCAGATTTTTAAACAACATGCACATGAGCATGTATACACATGGGTATAGTGTGTTTCCAACATGCAGTCCCACTTGGGAGCACAGGTCCCTGAACACATATGCTGACTGCAAGAAGCAGGACTACCCAGAACCCTCACTTCCATCTGCTGAGTGTAATTGCTCACTTTGCCTTCAGTCCTCCCGCCCCCTTCATCGCCTCCCTGGGCCACCTCCCTGCTTCACACTCCACCCCTTCCGACTACTCACTGCCCCCACCCCCACCCCCCCGTGGGCCACCCAGCTTCCCTGGCCTCTCTTGTTTGGGTGAGAGCGCGCTGGGCTACCTGCTGGACTGGGCTGGTCGTGGTGTCTCTAATCTATTGGCTCTACTGACCCTGCTGGTTGCTTTCCCTCCTCCCCGTCTGCTAGCCGGAGCAGGAAACCACGCCGAGACACAAGCAGGAGGTACTGCATGGGACCTGTCCCTACCTACCCAGTTCATTTGTCACCATTCCACAGTTCATCCCAGGCTGATATCCTGGTGCCATCTCAGCGTTATTAGCTTCACCTCTGCTCCCTGGCCATCCTCCTCCCCCTACGCTCCCCCTAGTCCCATCCCCCACCCAGGCCCCCTCAGCTCCCCTTGTTAAGTTCATCTCTTCAGCATCCTGCTCAGACTCCATCCCCTAGCAGTGTTTCCGCCCTTCATTCCCCTCTTCTCTGTCCAGCTTCACACTCTGCCTCCCCAGACCACCCATGCTCGCTCCCCCGTCCCTGCTGACTATCCCACTTGTGTTCCTCAGCTCTTCCAGGCATTCCATGCTTTTATTGAGCTCATCTCTTCTGCTTTTTTTTGTGTGTGTGTGTATCTATTGGCAACCAAATGTGGGTGGGAGGGGTGGAAGGGAGGAACCTCAGAGCACATCTGCATCTTCTCAGATTCCATTGCCCCTCCCTCTGGCTGGGGTCTGCTTCTCCAGCTGTCAGGAAAGCCTCCTCTCCTTTTCTCCTCCTCTCTCTCCTCACCCTCACCCTATTATCTGTGTTAACCACTTCTTCCCTTTCACAGTCTCCATCTCTTCATTTGAACTTTCACTGCAAGAGAAGTGGATTTATTCTTGGGCCCAAGGGGAAGGACCAGAGGCTGAGATGTGAGAAGGGCCTGGCCTTGTAGTCCCGTGGTCTGGATTTTAGCCCCAGTTCTGCCACTGACTTTTTGAGGTCTTGGGGACATCCCCTTAGGCCCCAGCTCCCCACCTGCACAGTAAGGCCTTTAGACTAGGTTTCCCTAAGGCCTTTCAAGGATCTTGGGGTTCCACCACTCCCTCTAGCTGTCAGGAACACGACATGCCCACTGAGCCAGAGGGGCAGGTACAGGACAGAAGGTCAACAAGACACATCTTGGGTCTATTGCAGCCCCAATCCATCAAACTCTATCAGGTTTGATTTCTCAGACAGACATGGTCCTGAGGCAGCTCAGCTCAGGAAAAGAGGTACAGACAGATGTTTGGAGGCAAAGCAGAAGCCTCAGTCGCATCGAGTTCCTTTCTGAGGTCACCTAGGAGTCCATCATAGAGGATCCTCGGATGCCAGAGAGAATCCCAGGGGAAGAGTCTAGCTTGTTCAAGGACAAGCTTACCTTCCAGGTAGTTCGAGAATCTCCTGATCTGACTTTATAATAAGCTGAGATTGTCCATTTCTTGCCCTGAATCGAGTTGACATGAACCCTCAAATAGCCTTGCAGATAAGGGTCCTTGGACCACCAGCCTAGGGCCCTGCCCCCAGAAGTACACAGACAGGCAGCTTGGGCAGGTCACTGCCGTCTCATGTGCAAAGGTTGCACCTCCTGTGACCTAGGGGCAGATTACCCTGTCATGAGGCACTGGCCAGAGCTCAGACTTGGCAGTACCATGTGGGACTCACTCCGGCTATCCCTGGCTCAGTTCTTGTGTCCAGCCTTGGACTTACCTATCTTCTTCCTGGGCTCTAATTCTCCTGGTCCTCCTGACCACCCCTCTCTGGCTGTATCTCACCCTGTCTGCTGTTGAGGAACCAGTATTCACAGGTATCTGGAAGATTCCGGGTGGTTGGGAAAGGTAGAGGCTGTCAGCAGAGAATGCTGAACACAATCTTTTCCTGGTCCCTGGGTCCCTGGTCCTTGGTGTGGGCACAGAGCCCATTTTAGTGGATGTCCCTGGCTTTAGAAGGGCCCCACAGGGCCTGATTTACTGCATATGTTGGGCCAGGAGGGGCCTAGAGCAGGGATCCTGCTAAGCACAGTGGTCCAAGTCTTGGTCAGAGGTGGGGACCAGGATCTGGGAGGCCAAGGAGGGGGTCAGAGCCGCCAAGTGAACAGGGTTGGCAAGTTCTCACTGTACCTCGGTTGTGACTTAGACTGGGCTCACAGCACCAAAGGGAACTCACCCAGACCAGTGGGATTTGCATGGGTTCGGGCTCTAAGACCAGGAGCCAGGCAGGGAAGTGGAAAAGGTTGTGCTTGACGAGAAGTCTCTCCTCTTTCTCTCTCTTCTAGATGTCTTTAAAAGACATCTCTCTTCTAGAGAGAGAGAGAGATGTCTTTTAGAGAGAGAGAGAGAGGGTGGGAGAAAGAGAGAGAAACATCAATGTGAGAGAAACATTGATCAGTTGCGTCCTGTAAGTGCCCTGACTGAGGACTGAACCCGCAATGTGGATATGTGCCATGATCGGGAATCAAACCCGTCACCTTTCAGTGTATGGGATGAAGCTCCAACCAACTGAGCCATACCAGCCAGGGCAGAAGTCTCCTCTTTTTAATCTCAAGTGCTTTGTGCACCTGTTGGGGCTAACAACATCCCTGCCCTGCTTGGTTCATGAGGTGCTGAGTGACACAGGTCATGGATGGGAATCACCTTGCTGATATAGGGCAGCGATGGTCGCTGTTGCCGTTTTCACCACCCCCAGTATCCCATCTCGGAGCTGCTCCTCTAATGCCTGGCTGTCCTCTCCATCACCCTAGTTCTTAGACAAGCCAGAGGATGTTTTGCTGAAGCACCAGGCCAGCATCAACGAGCTCAAGAGGACCCTGAAGGAACCCAACAGCAAACTGATCCACCGGGATCGAGACTGGGAGCGGGAACGCAGGCTGCCCTCCTCGCCCGCCTCCCCCTCCCCCAAAGGCACCCCTGAGAAAGCCAGCGAGGTAAGTCTCACCCTGAACCCCTCAACGGGGGCCTTAGGTAAAGAGGGTGGGGAAGTGTCCTGACTCACTGTCACCCCCACAGCTGTATGCTCCTCCCTGTCCCTGTGTGCAGTGAGGATGGGGTTGGGGTGGTGAGTTAAGCTGAGGAGGACAGAGTCACTAAATCTTGGAATCTGGGACCCCAGGGACTACCCTGGGAAACTCAAAGTGGCTTGGTGTGTTCCCCTTCCGTCAGCCAGAGTATAATGGGGAAGAAGGGGGACTTGTTAGAAATGCATACTCTGGACTCCACATCAGACCTCCTGAATGAGAATATTGGAGGCAGAGCCCTGGAATCAGCATCGGAAACAAGTGCCCCAGGCGATTCTCATGCACACTGAACTCTAAGAATCAGGGGAGTTCTGTCTAGTAACCAGACCCCTTTGAGCCTATTGTGAAAACACAGATCCGGAAGTATTCCCTCCAGGAAGGATCCTCGGAGCCCACTGGAGGGAAAACCAGCTGGTCCTGTGCCTTTCAGAGTGGAAAGCAATTGAAAAAGAGAAAGACGGATCTCGAGAATTCTTGTGTTGATAATCCCAACGTTATTATTAGCGCTGCTAAATCTTGGCAGTGTTTACCTCCGTCTATACTTGGGTTTTTATACCCTAGTGCTGCTGCTTACTGGGCTCAATCCCAACTGGGATCTAGACTTACACTGCCTGGGTTTGAACTCTGGCTCTGCTGCCTGCTAGCTGGATGACCCTGTGCTTGTGACGTAACCTCTCTGAGCCTCCATTCAGTAGAGGTAATAAAGCATCTACTTCTTAGGAATGTTGTAAGGATCAAATGAGATAAAGCATGGAGGGGCCAAGCAGAGACCCAGAGGCTCAATATGAGTTACTTATTGTTTCATTTGGAGAGACCTGGGACTCTCGCACAGGAGGTTAACGTGGAGTCAGGATCCCTTTTAAAGTTGGAAGGGTCCTCAGAACCCCCTTGGTTCAAGGTCATCATGTCACAGAGGGGGCCCTGAGGCCCAGAAGGGGAAGGACTTTTTTAGTGTCAGAGTTGATAGAAGAGAAGCCAGAATCTGATTTTCTTGTGTCCCAGGCACTGTATTTGCTATTAAATCACAACTGCCTAGAAGCAAGACCAAATTATGTGAAGACCAGACATAGAGTCAGTTGTGTGTGTGATGCCCTCTAATGCTTTGACAATTGGTTGATGCAGCCATGATCTAATAAGCAGAGCATTCTATTGACTCAGCACTCCCCATGGCCTTGCCATCCCGGCTGACAGAGGGCCTCATCCAGTGAGGCCGCTGAGATGGCTCCCTGGCTGGTGATTCGCAAAGTTAGGGATGATTTGGGGGCTTTTAAGGCCGGTGCCGTGGAAGGAGGGCAGATCTCTGCATCCACTGAAGGCTTCTGTGGTCACCTTTGACATAATCAAGACCCTAAAGATGCTGAAATGGGCCTGGGGGCTGGTCTAGTGATCCAGTTACCTGCCCTGCTCCTGCCCTGAGACCCTTGACCAGAGTGGACTCTCTTCAGTCCTGAAGTGGGTAGGGTGGGATGCAGAGGCTTCCGACACGGTCAGACTCCAGCAGAGAGAGGCAGGATGAGCCCTGGAGAGCTGGGCTCCTGGAGCATTGGGGTGGCCTCAGAGCAGCCTGGCTTGGGGGTGCCCCATCTGCTGGTGACAGCTGGAACTGCTAGAATTGGATCATTGAAAGGCGGAGTCTGTTCCTCTCCTGTCTTCCCACTGCAGGAAAGAAGTCTGGTCCAGGAGCTCACCTTGGAGCATTTAGAGGCCTTTAAAGATTCGGGAGATGGGGAGGAGCCTTAGCTAAGGACCAGTCTGACTCCTTGGGCAAATAACCTCACCTCTCTGAGCCTCACCGGCTAGTCAGTCCATCTAGAGGGAACTAAGATTGCTATAGGGTTGGGTTATTGGGAAGGTTGAGCAAAATCATGGATATAAACATACTTTATAAACTGGACAGTGTGGACAGTCAACGGGCATTGCTGACAATTAGAATTCCTGATCAAACATGGACTTTGCAGGGGAGATCTGCAGGGTGTTTCATCCATAGTTCCTAGTAGTTTCCTCATGTATTATTGGGCCTCATCTGGGGCCAGGGCAAAACGATAGGAGCTTAAACCAAAATAGGGACCCCAAACTATAAAGAAGAGTTCCGATTTGCCAAGCCTAGGTTTTCATCTCAAAGATAACGTTCTAAAAGGGGCTGAGGCCCAGACTACAGGCTTGAACCATCGTCTAAAGCAAAGACACCCAGAGAAGACTTGGAACCGTGCGCAAGTGATATGGCTCCAGAACCTCTTGAATGAGAATGAGCAGGCGATGAGGGAAGGCCCAAAGCCACGGTGCTGGCTGGCAGCTGAACGTGGGCCTCCCCCCCTGAATGGCTTGGAGGGGCAGTTCCTTTCTGTCCCGCCCCACAGCGGTGCGGCTCCTTCCTGACCTAATCTATGAAACCTAAAGATGTGGTATTTACAAAGCGGGGCTATTTATGGACTCTGTGTGTATGTCTCTCCTGCTTCCTCTCTCCCTCTCTGTCTCTCCTTCCCTTCCTCCCTCTTTCCCGTTCCTCTGGCCCTGGGCCTCCCCTGCAGTCCCAGAGGACCCAGGACACCTCTCAGCAGGACTTGGCACCTGAGCCTGGGACGGCCACAGGCTTGGAAGTGTTCACTCAGAAAAGCCTCGCAGCATCTCCTGAGGTTACTGTCATCACCTCCCCGCCCAACCAGAACCCTAATGGTCTTAAGAAAACCCTTTCTCTGGGGTGAATGGGGTGGAGCAGACTCTGCCATGCACCCGGAGCAGTGGGCAGCCCACATTGTCTCCTGGCTGTGACAACTGGGCATCCCCTTTCCAGGAATCCATAAAGGGCAGGCGTGAGAGAAACACATTGTTGCCCAGGAATCAGGACTGAAACCATTCAGGGAAGTCACTTCTGGCTTCAAAGGGAGGCAGAATTGAGCTCCCTCAGGCCCTGCAGAGGCAGGTGACTCTAGAGCAGCGGTTCTCAACCTGTGGGTCGCGACCCCTTTGGGGGTCGAAGGACCCTTTCACAGGGGTCGCCTAAGGCCATCGGAAAACACATATATAATTACATATTGTTTTTGTGATTAATCACTATGCTTTAATTATGTTCAATTTGTAACAATGAAGTTAGGGGTCACCACAACATGAGGAACTGTATTAAAGGGTCGCGGCATTAGGAAGGTTGAGAACCACTGCTCTAGAGGCAGGCTCTGCCCTTTAAGCTTGGGATCGGGGTCATGGCACCTAAATGTCTTCTGCCCTAAGGTCTTGTTACTGTTTAGAAGCCCGAGGGAGGTCTAGCTGTGGTTGGTTTAGGGGATGGCATCCCATTCAACCCCCCACCTCTTTCTTTCCTAAACTCCCCTTGGATCAGTCAGGATCTCCAGACAGACAAAGTGGGCATCTGGGTCCAAGGAGTAACCTTGGGGTTACAGAGATGTTGGTAAGGCAGGTGTTCTAAATGAGGAGGGCATTGCTTCTGGGCCCAGGAGAGCAGCAGGTTGAGGGCTCTTGGAACTTGCTGTGCCCCTGCGTGGATGCCAGGTTGAATCCAGGCCCAGCACCTGATGGACGGTCAGGATTGGAAGGTACTAACTGACCATCTCCTTGATATATGATCCTCTCTTGTTGGCACAGTGTGTCTTAGGGCATATACCTTTCTTAATTCCCTGGGGAAAGGTTTTGTAGCTGCTGAAAACATGCTGGAACTGTAACAGAAACATGAGTCAGCTACATAAGTGGTAAAACATAAATCACAGTTATTTTTCCGCAGTTGTAAAAATAAAAACAAAACTATCAGCACTCTCTTGAGAGAAGTTGGACAGGAGTCAACAGCATCTCAAGGTTAGGGAAGCAGTGATGCCCTGGAGCACAGAGATGCTCTCAGGGCTAAGGACAGTGCCCACCCTTGAGGGGGGCGACATGCGTCCTTTCTCGGGGTTCCTAAAATTGTCGGTCCAGTCCCTTCCACAGAGGGGGATCTGCCTGTTCCTAGCGGCAGCTCGTTTTGTCTTCAGTCATCCATGGTGAAGTTTTCATGTTGAGTTGTCTGTCCTTCTGAATCACTGGCCCGTGGGCCTTGCTCTGTCCCTAAGCGCCTTTATGCCTGCTCTGCATCCTCCAGGGTGGCCCTTCAGAGTTGAGCACCCGCTAACCTGCTTTCTTCAATAGTTTCTCCCAGGGCATGGCTTCTAGAGAGCTCCTCATCCTGGACCCCCTCCTCTGTGCCCAAACTGTGAGCCAGAGCTCCAGCCCTGAGTCCGCGGAACTGCTGGTCTGGAGACTTGCTCCTTGTCCGTGGGAACAGAATCGCTCCACTCCCCCTTTCAGCTTCTGTTCCAAGACTGTCTTACCTCAGTGCCTCTATCTGACAGCAGGGGGCGCTCTGAGCAGGCACTGAGCACCTTGGCTCAGTGGGAAGAAGGGCTGAGGGCTCTCCTGACATCGTCCCCATCCTAAAATCTGGTCAAAACGCCCTCCAGGCCAGTCCCCAGGGCCAGCTGAGGCCCTGCCAGTGTCTTTGGTGCCAGTGAAGCCTTGCTCTTTCCGTTCAGTCTTCCTTTCCTCTTTAGGTTCCTACACATCCCCTTTCACTTGTTAGCAGCAGAGCCCCTTCTTCCCTCAGTGCTCACCCTGTCATCTGTGCCAGTCAGCTTCCTCTGGGAGCCTCGGTTTCCCCTTCTGAAATAGGGTGACAGCACCTGCTTCACACGTTACCATATGGATCAAATTTAATAATTTAGACCAATGATTTCAAGAGTCTTTAAAATATGCAATACCTGACTATTTAGTCAGGGCCACTGGCCACTTTTCCCTTAGATTGTCAAATAAAAAAATGACAACAGCCCGGCTGGTGTGGCTCAGTGGTTGAGCATCGACCTATGAACCAGGAGGTCTTGGTTTGATTCCCAGTCAGGGCACATGCCCGCATTTTGGGCTTGATCCCTTGTGTGGGGTGAGCAGGAGGCAGCCAATCAGTATTCTCTCACATCATTGATGTTTCTATCTCTCTCTCTCTCTCCCTTCCTCTCTGAAATCAATAAGAATATATTTTTTAAAATGACAACAGCCAACACAACAATAGCCACCTGGTGTGAATGAATCAAAATTACACCTATTTTTTTGTCAGATCGGCAAAAAATATTTTTGTGTGTGCTTCAGAATCTAGTAATTAGTTTATGTGTGCCATGAGATGAAAAAGGTTGAAAATCGCTGACTTAGTCAAAAGACTGGTATTGCCTGGCACAAAGTAATTAAATATAAGTACATTTCCCCTTTTCTTCCCCCTTTACAATCTTTCGGTTCTGTGCCAGCTCCCATCCCACTCAGCCTAGAAACTAGTTTCTAGTTAGACTTGGGGCAAGAATATTCCAGATGGGACTTCGTGGACTGTCTTTGGCTATCCTTGACTGGCTGATGATGCCAGTACACGCTGAGACGGGAGCAACTAAAGGCACTTGCTTCCCAAGTCGAAGAGAAGAGAGGCCTGGCGTCTGTAGGCTCTCAGAGCACTTCTCTCTGGGAGAGTCCGAATGCTGTGGTCCTGAAAGCTTAACAACCTGAAGTAAAATCTCAGAACCTACCCCCCACTTTATCTGGGCCTTCCCCCTTCCTTTTATCTCTCTTTTCTGTTGGCGAGAATCTCTTCCTGTGGTTTGCTTCCCTGATAGTCATGGAGATTTTGCTGAAATGGAGTGGGGAATGGAGGTAAGAGTGTCCCCTTGATCCTGCAGAATCCTTTAGGTCTGATGGGATCTTGCCTCACCAAGTCATAACCTGAGTCGGAGCCCAAGGTCAGATAAACTTGCCCAGCTTGTTGTCGGGAGCAGTTTGGGCCACATCTTACCGTGGATGCATCTCACAGAACTTGGACTCAGAGAAGGTTCTAGGCCTGCTTTTGCACCAGCTCACTCTCTGACCTTGGGCATGGTGCTCACCTTCCCTACGCCTCAGTTTCCACATCTTTACCATGAGGGGCTGACTCAGAGCCATGATTTCACAGGAGGAAAGTACCTCAGGGCACTAGACCCCCAACTTCAACAGGGCAGCCCCATGTTTGTGCTACATAGTAGACTTCCATTGAAAGATTAAAACCCCAATGGCCTTCTTGCTTTTTGAACGATTCTAGAAGTCCATGGTTCCCTCCTAAGCGCTGTTCAAAGGGAGGTGGGGGCCGTTCTGTCAGTGGTTTGACAGTGCTGCCCTCTTGTTGGTGCTTTCCACCCAAGATATGCCTGGGTCTTTAGATTGTTTCCTTCGGTGATGTGTTCCAGTCGGTCCTTATCTACTCTTTCTGTGGATTTCATTAGACTTCTCCAAGGACAGGCCTTGGTACCTGCTTCTTTGTGAATGGACCCCACAAAGTTCAAGCTGTTCAAGCCATTGCGGTGACTGGCACTAAGCAGGAAAGCTGGCCAGTTAGTGTTTTTAATTCTAATCTCTTTCCTTCTCAGAAGCTCTTGCAGGAAGGTCAGCTTATGGAACTTATCTCAATACTTCCCATCAACTTGACATTAGATCACAGTGGGACCCACATGCCATACGTTGTGAGATAAGTTAGCCAGGGTCTCAGTCATCAAAACTCAGACACTTTTTTCCTGACTCTACTGTCAATGAACTGTGACCTTGGCTAAGTCACCGACCTTCTCTAGGCCTGAGTTTACACATTTGCACAATGAGTAGATTGGACTGAAGGTGTCTTAGAAGTTCTTTTGGCTCCAACATTCAGTGATTTCATGTAACATCAGCTACTTTCCCCTCTGACAGTGGCAGTTATATTATGAACACGGAAGAGGGAGCGTCCTGGCCCATCCATGGATCTCCATTTTCCCCATGGTTAACAGGAGGAGACCCCATCCCATTTTACCAAGCTGGGGTGGCGGTGGAGGGGAGTTGGTAAATAATTTATTGGGTGCTTTGGTGGGAAGAGGAGCTTTGATGAGGCTGACTAGTGTTGTCATGCCTTCCTCTCCCCAGCCAGTTCTGGGGACAGACATGTTGACCTTTGGGTGGTAGGATGGTCCCTTCTTGTAAAGGGAAAAGGTGACCTGTTCTTCAGGTGCCTGCTATTTCATGTTAACTCTTCTTGCTCCAATTGAAACACAGGGTTCAGAGCATTGGGTATTTATAGAAAGGAAGTACACTAGGCCAGAAGAACTCAGTCTCCTAAAAGTGGCCGCCACGCAGCAGGAAGAAAGTGAGGCAGGCCTTGCAGATATCCTTGCCGATGGCAGACTCTCCAAGGTGGATATCCTGGTGGACAAGTTCAAAGTTGAAGTGGCCACAGAGGAAATGGTGGGAGCCAGAGGAGCAAACACCCAGCAAAAAGGAAGAATGATTGCAAGCCCTGAAGACTTCGAGTCACTGTGGGAGGAGGGCCCCCTGGTCGGGAATGGCCCAGGAGGAGATCCCCTGGCTGCAGGCTGCACTCTGGCAGAAAAGCTTCCTGAGGGCTCCCAGCTCAGGATGGGCACCGGGGAGGCCACTATCAGGAAGCGCCGGGTCTCGGGTCAGTGGGAGAGCCACGTGGAGCTAAGAAGGGAGCTGGAGGAGATCCAGACTTGTGAAAGGCCCGCTGTCCTGGGGGCCGGGCCGGCAGAGGTGGATGTCTCCTTTCCAACCTCTGACAAGGGAGGACTTCAGTCATTTCTGCTGGACCCAGCCCACGAGGAAGACAGAGCCGACTCGAGTGATGAAACCGATACTTCCTGTGCGGAGAGGAGCTTCTATTTCAACTATGGAGAGAAAGATTTTGAAGACCAAATCCTCCCTCCACTGTTGGAGGAGAGAGGAGAGCGCCCGAAAGCCCCTCCTGGAGATGAGACCAGGCGGGAGCTCCCGGGAGAGCTTGCAGAGAGCTCTGAGCTGAGGGCCTCTGCCCAGTGGGGCTCTCCGACAGCTTCCAGAAGGAGCAAGGATGAAGATGGTGAAGCTCACACAGCTTCCTTGGAGAAAGGGGTGGGGCCTCCCAGGGACCACAGAGGACCCAATGACCTGGAGGCCTTTGACCAGCAGCTCGGTAATGGATCTTTTCCAGGGCAGAGATTTGCTAAGGCTTGGGAAGAAGCAGGGTGGGGGGTGGAAGGAGAGTTTACCCACCCAGCCCCTGCCATTACTGCAGAGGAAGAGGCCTCTGGGAGTCTAGATTTGATGGGAAAGGCTGAGAAAAGTCCCCCAGCAACATGGAGGAACCACTCGCCTCACAGAGGAGCGGGTGTGTGCCCAGACTTTCCGGCCTGCGCCCTTCCATGGACACTAGCCAAACCGGACAGAGATAACTTCTTGCCCAAAGACAAGGGACCAGTTCACACCCAAACAGGACAACCCATGAGGGAGCACAGCAAGGTTCACACGGAGTTTCTTCAGATGGAGGTGATCAACCCCCTCCCAGCCTCCCGCGGTCCCTTTCAGGCTCCTCCTGAGGACGCTTCTGCGAGCCCAGCCTCTCATGGGTCATGGGAGCCTTTGCAGCTTGGGGATCCCTTTGGAGAGCAGCCCCCTGTATTTCTCAGAGAGAGCCCAGAACCCAAGGACCAAGTAGAGCCTGTTGTGACTCTGGACAGAGGTGAGCGCAAGGCACCTCCCGTTGCCAGCAGAAAGCGCAGAGTTGTCCTTGAAGAAGTTGAGGGAGTTGCAGCTCTAAGGTTGGGGTTCCCTTCAGGGAAGCCAAAGATGACTCCTTTCCAAGCTGGGGGCCAAGAGGGCTCCCTGGAAGACATCAGCAAGACCTCGGTGGCCAACAAAATTTGGATCTTTGAGACCCATGGAGCTGAAAGTTGGCGAGCGAGTCAGGGCGAAACATGGGCCCTTCCAAGTGAGTTGTCTTCAGAGGCCTCCCCAGGGCAGACAGAGCAGCAGCAGAATAAGCTTTCAGACCTGGGCTTCGTCCAACTCCCGCCCCCAGAGGACATCGCCGGCCCCAATGCCACGCATTCCTCAATGATGTCACCCACTACCAGCCACTTCAGGGAGGGCGTTTCTACTACATCCCACCAGGAACTCGAGCTCACGTCTCCTGATTCGGGCTGCGAAACTACGCTGGAGGAAGCTACTGGGGGAGCTGGCCACGTGAGCCCCCACTCCCACCGCTGCCCCCAGCTGGGCAGCGACCGCATGCTGTGTAGCTTTTTAGAAGCATGTTTAGTGTCCCTCGTCATTAGTGCAAACCAAGGCTGCTTTTCCATCCCTGTGAGTTCTTTACCCCGAGTGTAGCCCAAGCAGAATGCAGGGTTCACCTGCTTGGCCCACGTGAGCTTAGGCACAAACCCGCAGCTTTTGGTGTGATCTGTTGCCCAAAGGGCCACATTGACACGGTGGAGAAGGTGGCACCACCGCCAGCAAACTACACACTCGCTTTGCCTTGCTGCCCCCACCTGCTGGGTGCCTACCTGTTGGCTTGGCTTATCCAGTGTCCTTCCTTCATCCTTTCCCTTCCCTGGTTCTCCTGCCTTGGGGAAGCTACAGTCCAGAAGTTTTCATCCTTCACTTGTGGTTCCCTCTCGGTCCCAGTGCCCAGAGCCTTTCTGCCTCCTTAAGACTAACTATCTTCTCTGATCCAGAACAAATCCAGAGATGCAGTCAGGGAAGAGAAGCGCCTCGCCAGTTTAGCAGCAAAACCCCCTGGGAAAGGGGGGCGCCTGGGATTCGTCAGCCCCTCAGGCCCTCAGGTCTCTGCAGCCCCCTGGTGCCCCGATGCCCCGGTCGCCCTCGCCTGGCCAGGTGCATCGCTGCCTTAGACTCCCACCTGTGCTGGCAGTGCTTCTCGTGGCAGCTCAACTCTGGCTTGTCTGAACGTGTCCTCACACCTCTCAACCTTCCAGAAACTGGCTAAATGGATGCTAGTTAAGCAAGCGAATCTCCAAATGCACTGAATCTCTAGAACCTGAAGCCATGTACTTTAAACATACTTGGTGGGTGTTAGGTTGGTTTTAAGGAGTGTCATGAACCAGCCCCAAATGTATGAGTGGTGTTTAATCCCTGACAGGCCAGTTGAGAGGTATGTATGTCAGACAAGAGCTGCTGGTCCCCCTCCGGCACTTCCTTGGCCTGCTGTTGTCAATTACACTGATGGGATCAGAACCTCCACTCCATGGCCTGCCCGTCGGCCCACTCATGGAGCTCAGGGTTGAACTGATGCAGCACCCAGCTCCCAGGAATTACCCCATATTGGTCCTCCCTCGAGACGATGCTGACCCCTCCCATGGGGACTCAGTGAAATTGACAAACCGTGCTGGCTTCCTCTTCGTTCCTGAAAGCTCTTGGCTCCAGCCTCTGCTTCGCCTGCCTGGGTTTCCTGATGCCTGGGTCTCCCTCCTTGGTTTCTGTCTCTCGAGTCCAGCCCGCACAGATGGGCCGGGACCTGGGCCCCCATCCCTGCCTTGTGCACAGTGCCGCTTCTGATCAGCTCCCAGATCCAAACGTTGGATGGAGCCTCCTGTCCAGGAACCAACTGGCAGGATGTTTGCTTTGTACTTGCTTTGCCATTATCAGGAGACCCCCGGAAAACAGCATCCCCACTCTTGGGAACTTTTCGGTTATTTTAAGCTTGTTATGATGTCAAGGAACCTTTCCCGGGGTGTTTTTTGTTTCCTGGCCTGCTCTTCCATTTGGGACTTCGACATGGCCCCGAGATTTCTTCTGTCATTTACCATCTTGATTTCTCTCTTTCTCTCTCTCCCTCTCGTCCCACACTCCCGTTCCTTTTATTTTATCTGGCCATAGAGAGCAGGGCTGAGGGAGGGCTCGGAGGAGAAAGTCAAACTACCACGTCCCAGGGCCCCAGAGAGTGACACGGGCGATGAGGACCAGGACCAGGAGAGGGACGCGGTGTTCCTGAAGGACAACCACCTGGCCATCGAGCGTAAGTGCTCCAGCATCACCGTCAGCTCCACGTCCAGCCTGGAGGCAGAGGTCGACTTCACCGTCATGGGTGACTACCACGGCAGCGCCTTCGAAGACTTCTCCCGCAGCCTGCCCGAGCTCGACCGAGACAAAAGCGACTCAGACACAGAGGGCCTGGTGTTCTCCCGGGATCTCAGCAAGAGGGGCCCCAGCCAGGACGACGAGTCCGGGGGCATCGAGGACAGCCCGGATCGAGGGGCCTGCTCCACCCCGGATATGCCCCAGTTTGAGGTACAGTGGAGCATCGTGGAGACCGGGCCCAGCAGGCACTGCATGTTCAGAGGGCCCTGGCCGTCTGTGAGAAGACCGAGTCGCCAGCCTGCAGCCCAGATCCCTCAGGCTGAAGCTGTGTCTCGTGTTGCATGACTGTCCCTCCGCAGAACAGCATGGCTCTGTGCTCGCATGTTTGCCGTCTCGGTTTACCCCTAACATGCACACCTTGGCATTTTAACCCTGTGAACCCATAACTTGCCTGAGGTCAACCAGTGACCAGCAGTCGGGTCTTACTTGACTCCTCCTCCCCCTGCCTGTGCTGCATGGCACTGCAGAGAGCATGTGCTGTGACGCCTCTCAGGGACCCCGTCCTGGTCTGACCCCGGCCCGGGCTCCTTGCCCTGGGGCCTGGGCTTCCTGGGGTAGCTGTTGAAACTCCTGGAGAAGCGGAAATGTCGTCCCTGAGGGGGACACAGGGATGCACTGTCTGGGCTTCTCTTTGTGTCCTTCCTTCAGAGGATCTCTGTTCATGTTATTCCATTGCTCCCTCGTCTCTTCTAGCCCCAGCCTACCTCCCACCACTCTCCCCTTCCCCATCCTACAGATACTGAGACGTGACCTCATTACTCAGGCCTTCACTTGTGCTGTTGCCTCTGGGTGGAAGGTTATTCCTTCCTTTCTCGGCCCTGCAAGTGTGTCATGTTCCAGGACAGAGTTCAGATGTCACTTCCCTAGCAGATGCTTTCCTGACCACCGTGGGAAGAAGTGCTGTCCCCTCCACAGCCTCCTGGCCCAGTAATGCTCTGCTCCCGGTGGTAGCCCAAGTACGTCAGTGGCTGACCGGTCTGCTCTCCTTCCAGGTGGCAGCTCCTGGAAGCCTGCACAGAGAGGCACTAGTAGCTGATTGACTGAAGGGCTAGCTCTCCGGGCTACAGCCATCTCCTCACCCCTCACCCCTCTTTTGTTTCCTCACCCCTCACCCCTCACCCGTCTCCCAAGCAGATGGCCAGCTAGCTTTCATTCATTCATTCAGTTCACATATGTGGGTACCTGCTGTGTGGATAGCCATGAACTAGCCCAATGGAGGACGCAGAAGAAACTGATCATTTAACTTAATGACTTCTAGAGCATAGGTTGTAAGCCAATGGCTCGGGCCAGACCTGGCTAGCAGATGTGTTTTCTTTTTTACATATATTTTTAAATATATATTTGTATTGATTTCAAAGAGAAAGGGAGAGGGAGAGGGAGATAGAAACATCAATGATGAGAGGGAATCACTAATTGGCTGCCCCCTGCACGCCCCCTACTGTGGATCGAGCCTGCAATCTGGGAAGGTGCCCTGATCAGGAATCAAATCGTGACCTCCTGGTTCATAGGTCAATGCTCAACTATTGAGCCATTTAAAAATCAGGGCATTAAATATAAAATACAGGGATTTTTCTTATATCATTAAAAAATTACATAGCCGAAACCGGTTTGGCTCAGTGGATAGAGCGTCGGCCTGCGGACTGAAAGGTCCCAGGTTCGATTCCGGTCAAGGGCATGTGCCTGGGTTGCGGGCACATCTCCAGTGGGAGATGTGCAGGAGGCGGCTGATCGATGTTTCTCTCTCATCGATGTTTCTAACTCTCTGTCTCTCTCCCTTCCTCTCTGTGAAAAATCAATAAAATATATTTTTAAAAAAAACAAAAACAAAAACAAAATTACATAAATTTTTTTAAAAAAATCAGATGACCCAGTCACTCAGAAGCCATGGCCACAGTTGGCCAAACCTGAGTGGCACCCCATGTGCTTCAAAGTCCCCCCCAGGCCTCAACAAGCCCACTTCACTTGTTTACATCCCCTCCCTGGTCCCCCAGGGGCCTCCAGGTGTGTGGCTTCTGCTCTAAAGAACAATTCAAATGAGGTGGTAGCATAACCATTGAAGTTGCTCAGGATTTAGTGGCATGGATGTA